AGGCTCGCCATGTGTTGTCACTTTCATTGTTTGTGAATCTACTCTAGACAGTCAGTCAGTCTAGTCTAGTCTAGTCTAGTCTAGTCAGTCTAGTCGTCAAATCAGACTTGACTAGACTGACTGACTGTCTGAGTTTGCAGGTTCGCTACATCTTTGCATCAGAAGCCCCAGGGCCTGAAGGACGGCCCCAAAAGGAACTGCTTGAGTTGAACCTGAAGCCGGAAACCATTTTCAACGACCTTCTGGTCCGACTCTGAGATGTCCAAAAGTCCTGGCCAATCACAGTTACATTGCCCATCATTGCCCAGAGTTGTTCATGTCTTCTGTATGGTTGCTTGGCTGATTCAGGCCCGCAAAAACTACGGGTTGGACTGGCTGACAAACAGTCAGAAGAAGGTGGAATCAGTGGAGTTTTATACCGGTGGATTCGAATGCCAGGACAGGACTTCACTTCACTTCTATTCTATAATTCTATTAGTTTTTTTTTTGGACTTGGACCTGGGACCTTTGTTAATGACTCAGGTCAAAGGTCGAATCTAATTTGCAACAGCCGTGTAGTGACATCTTCTCTTTCTGCGCATTCACAAGGATTTATCCTGCATGAATCAGCACAGAAAGCCTTTGGATTTGCAGATCTCGGCTGAGTGTCTTCGCTGACGTTTGACTGTGACTGTGATATTTGGCACTGTGTGATTGTATGGGATATCCTGCAGCGCAAGGTCTGGCAAAAGCTCATTGACCTTGAAGAGAAGCCTTGACTATATCAAAACACATCGGCCGGTCATGGCCACAGCTGTCAATGGGGAGGGGGGGGGGTCTGGTCATTGGCTTAGTCCATTGCTATCGAGGCGTTTGTGATCATTGAGAACGTCGCCAAGAAAAAGACAGAGCGAATCCTGGTTCAGGAGTTGATGAAAATGACGTATGAGGCCCAAGGCCTGTTCATCAACAGTGGATCAATGGGTGTATGCCAAAGCCGTACGCGACTCTATGTCGCGGCTGTGGACCTCTCCCAGCGTGAGTTCATTGTGGACCCTGGCAAGTGGAGTGTTTGGCTTAAGGACAGTGTTTGTTTGTGATTGTGTGTGTGTGCTTTTTTTCTCCGAGGGGGTGGGAGCTGAAGGTGTGGTATTTTACATTGAAGTTTTGAAGGACATTGCAAAGCAGATGTGCACTCCAACCTTTTGCAGACACTTAGCTGCCACATGCTGCCACAGGGTCAATGGATTGCAGACGGCTTGCAACCAATGACTTGTGTAGCTGTCCGTGTGTTTCCACAGGCTCACTGGTCATGGTTCGCCAAATTGTGTGTGAACGCTTGCTGATGAGGCTTGATGCTGCCTGACAAGGACAGCCGTTTGGATGCCTTTTTGGGCAGCTTGGAGGCGAAAAGGAAGCTCTCCGACAATGAGATTGTTGCCAGCATGCGGGATGGCTCAAGTTGGCCAAAATGTCACCGGAAACATTTGGAGGCGAAAGCTGCCATCTCTGAACGCTTGGGAAAACCAGTCACTTTTCAGAAACTACCTGCATTCCACAGGTACAACAGGAGGTCATATGTTTTGTGATGTTTTGTGTACAGTCTAGCCTAGCTGTCTGGGGGGGAGTGTCTCGTTGGCCATGGGCCATGATTCACGGTGAGGTTCCAAGCCCCGCTGAGCTCTTTGACCAGTTCTCCAACAGATGGAGCCGGTGTCTGCCTCCAAGAGAACAGGACCTACTCTACACCCACATGTGGGTGTGACTCGGTGAAACAGCGTGCTGTGCACATGTTGTTGACGGTAAGAAGTACTAGACTAGAAGTTTATAGAATTAGAAGTAGAAGTAATACCCCGCCGCCCCACCCCGTTTTTTTGAAGATGAGGCTTCGCACTGCAGTGCTTGCTCCTGATGAACCGACGCCACCTTTGCTGTGGGACCTGACGAATAACATCACGTTCCAATGTTGGAAGTCTACCAATCACCACTCGGTGCTTCCTTGCCTTTTGAGGGGCCACCGGATTTGGCACATTGCCAAGAACCGTCCAGTCATGGGAGTGGAACTGTTGCACGGGCAAGGCTTTCCAGTGGGCAAGGTTGTAAGCAGTGGAGTTTCTGAGCGTGGAAGGGATTTGAGTGTGAAAGTGCCCTGGCAGAGTGTGCAGTGTGAAGTGTGTCAACAGGAAGCTGTGTTTACTGCGTAACTAGGTTGGAACAACATAGGATGGGGACCCCCCAAAGCCTAGCAAAAAAAAATAAACGCGAAAAACAGGATATTGATCCTAATCAATAAACCGAAAAAATATCAATATTTTTGATTTGCCTAAAATATTGAAAATCATATTGATTTTGATATTGATTCCGGTATTGATTTCTGGGCAGCTTCGAAAAAGCAAATTTGATCAAATTTGATCAGTTTTGATCAAAATTGATCAATTTTGATCAAATTTGATCAAATTTGGCTGGTTTTTGATCAAATTTGATCAAATTTGGCTGGTTTTTGATCAAATTTGATCAAATTTGATCAAGCTGACCATGTTGCTGTTTATTGAATTTCCTATTGATTTTTGCTTGGCTTTGAGGAAGAATTTCTATTGAAAAAGCACGCGCCCAAATCAATAGAAATTGTTGATTTTTTTCAAGAATATTGATTAGGATCAATATCTGATGCCCAGGGTATAACAATATCACCGGCATATACCCAAGAACATGCAGACCGAGAATAGGCACCCAGCGCCGCCAGGCCGCCCGACCATGACACCGGACCATCGGATCAGCGGACCATCGGCTCATCGGACCATCGGATCAGCAGACCATCGGACCATCGGATCAGCGGACCATCGGATCATCGGACCATCGGATCAGCGGA